ATTCGCTGAGACCTAACCAGTGCCAAATAGAGTGATACTATTACCTCCTATGACTTGCGTATTCTATACCTCTGTTAATGCAACCCCAACCTGGATTTGTTCTTTTTTGCAACAGCGAAAATTGCTGACTCATATTGAGGTTGTGATCCGCTATAATTCCCAGATCTTTCTTGGCAGTGCTACCGTTAAGCCAGTTTTCCCCCATTCGGTATTTGTGCATGTAGTTTCTCTTCCCTAAGTGGAGCAGTTTACATTTGTCTTTGTTGGATTTCATCTTGTTGTCTGTATCCCAATTCTCTAATTTATCAAGATCCCTCTGAATTTTATCTCTGTCTTCCCCCTCCAAACTTGCTTGGTATGCTCTCAAGTCCTACATCCAGGTAATTAATAAAGATGTTAAACAGCACTGGACCCAGAGCAGGTCCCTGTGGAATCCCATCTGAGACCTCCTTCGGTTCAACATTATTCCATGAAGAGTTACTCTTTGTGGTTGTTCAACCAATTATGTATCCACGTAATAGTAGTTCTGTTAAGCCTCTATTATATCCCCCCTTAGTTTCCTTTCTTCTAAGATGAAAAGTCCCCGTTTTTTAATCTCTTTTCATAGGCAACCCGTTCCAAAACCCTAATCATTTTTGTTGCCCTGTTCAGAACCCTTTCCAATGCCAGTATGTCTTTTTTGAGATGAGGTGACCACATTGGTGGAGCATTTTCCTGTGAATTTGCGATTTGCTGAAAACGCTTTACCCTGCACTGCTGCCAAGGCAGTGGTACTGTGACGTCACCTGTCAGGTCAGCCTAGAGCATGGATTCCCAAACTGGGGGGCATGAAGAAATTCCAGGGGAGGGGTTGCGAGGTGACCCAGCCCCTCCCCCCCCCCAATCCCACTCCAAGTTTTGCTGCTATTTTTGTTTTTCGGCCCTGGTTAGTTCCTTTTTTTATTTATTTTTTTTTTGCTCTCAACAAGTTTTGCTGCTTGGGGGGTTTCTCAAACATCAAAAAGGGGGCATGATGCCGAAAAGTTTGGGAACCACTGGCCTAGAGCAAGGAGCCCTTCCAGAATGGATCTTGGAGCCTGGGCAGAGAGCTGTCACTGCTGCCCTACCTTGGAAATTGCCACTGGGGTCTCCCGAAAAGCTGGCTCTGATGCTACCTTCTCTCCATCACTGCACCGGTCGCCATCTTGCCCAAAGCGACAGCTCCCAGGCCAATATAAGATGCTGGATCTTGCAATAGGCAACGGGGCAAAGGCAGAAGTGTCCATGAGCAGTAATATTCCATCGCAGAGGGCAGTGTCAGCAGCAAGGCAGTACCTGGGCCCCGGGGGGGGATGAACTTCCTGGTTCCTGCAGAGCTACCCAACCAAGGCCCGGAGAACAATTCTATTGGAATCCTTGGGATCTCAGTGGGGATCGTGAGGACAGGCACCAGAGGGCCAGTGCTGGGGTGCAGCCTGTCGGGCTGGTGTTCGTGGGCCGTACCTGACGCAAGCAGAAAGTCCCAGACTAGCAGGAAGGCAACAGTGCCAGGCGATGCATCGGGGCGCACAGCCAGCATGCAGTCTGTGGGGGAGGACAGCCTGCCATGGTAGTGGGGAGGGAGCAGGGATCTACAGGAGGTGGGAAGAGGCGTCTAATGCTGCTGGTGAAAGGAGGACTTGGGTGTGACACGGAGATGTCCCACGTAGACTTGAGACAGATGGAGAGAAGTGTGTGTGTTTGGGGTAGGGCTATTTCTGCAAGAAACTAATCAAACTCAGAGCCTAAACCGGGGTGGGGAACCATTCGGCCCCTGGATTGCCTGGATCTGGCCCCCAAGCTCCCCCCCAGCATTGGGGAGCCCGCGCTGGCGCCCCAGCCCCCCTGCCACCCCATTGCTGGGCTGTAACACACAAAAACTATTAACCTGGCTTCCCCTAAGCTCTGGTGTGCGAGGGGAATGCGGGGAGTGTCTTTCTCCTCAGTCAGGGGTCACGTCAGTGAGGGGGTTTTTTTGTTTGTTTGTTTTTGCTTCTCACTTGTGTGTGGCCCCTGACTGAGTTTTTGTTCCCCACCCTGGATTACACCACCCAGCCTTGGGGCGGGGGGAGAGATGTGCCTGTCTGGGAGGGCAGTGGTGAGAGGGGTGTGACGGGACAGGGGCTACTTGGGAAGTTCTTTTTGCAGCTCCAGGGAGTGCTGGCCTGATGGAAAACACATTTGCCAGACCTGTGGACCCTCACCTCATTGCTGCCCATGAGGAACCCCTCTTCCCCGTGCGAGACTGCCTCTGTCCTTACCTGGAGCTCCCCCCGCCCTGCCCCCAATGAGCCAGCCTAGCCCCACACACCTTCTGGTGGCTGCTGGAGAAGGCAATGACTGATTTGCATGCACATTATGACCTTTCTGTCCCTAGCTGCCATCGGATCTGTCTGCCGTGTCACAGAAGGATTCCCGCTTTACTGCACCCACATCCTGAGGCATTTTACTTCCCCTGCCGGCAGCGGTCTCCAGGCTGCTGAGCACCACAGCTGTGGAGGGGTAACATGCCAGTAGCATGAGCCTCTGAGCAAGAACAAATCCACACCCTCCACACCCTGCTTGTCTTAGCAGTAATAATATGACTTCCCGGCTTAGCAGTGCCTCAGTCTACCTCTGGCGATGTGCTACAGGGACCAAGCAGCAAACAAAATCAAAGCCATGGCTGCCTTCCTGCCCCCGCTTCCCAGGATACCACATGGCAGCTGGCGCTAATTAAAACCTGAAAGAACTGACCTCTCTCTGCACCTATTTGGGTGAAATTAATTAAAATCTAGGCCATTAACATGTAATCGTTTGTAACTAATTGCAGTTGCTCCAAACCATCATCTCCACCGTGGGCTGGGTCAGTCCTAGCGCTGGGAAAGCGAGAGTTAAGCCCTCTCCAATTCAGATCCACCGATTGCTGTGGCAGGGAAGAGAGATCTTCCTTTTCAAAGAGATCTGTGTTTGTGTTTGTATTAATTCCAAAGCCCGAGCGCTCATGCCGCATACAAAGTGAACACCGAGCCTCCCAGTGCATCTTAAGCGGTTGGCATGAAGGTTCTTGGAGGAAGAGGGCTGTCACAGGCAAGGTTCTTTCCACCAGATGCGGCTGGGCAGTACAAGGTCACCAGCTCTCGATTGTATGGCAAGTCTTGTGATATTTGATGTTTTTCTTAAAGCCCCAGCCCCCGAAGTCAGGTTTCTAGCTTTTCCCATTGCAGAGAAAGGCTTGAAACCATGACGTGAGTGTGGGTTCATAACGGTTCAGAATCCAGAATGTAAATACAAGAACTGAACATTTTATTGTTTTTCAAAAAACCTCCTGATTTTGACATCAACTTCTGGATTTTCTGGAGCCCTGCCATTGGATTTTTGAGCATTTCTGGCCCTCCGGCAGCATTGCCAACCAAAATCAGATCCACCCAGCAGGAGATTTCAACTCATTATCCCAAGTTTGGAACTTCCTTTCACAAGGGCCTTTTTTCCTGCCCACAAGCAGGCAGATGCAAAGGCTGGGACTGTGTGCAGCCCGGATACTTGCTGCATTGGAGTGGAGCCTCATCAGCTGCCTCCCTAGCACCTCTGATGGTCTCATCTCCTTCTGGGGGTGATCAGGATGAGAGTTCTACACTATCACTCAGTAGTGCCCTAGGAGAAAAGCAGGGAAAAGGAAAAGCCACTGGGGCACCTTGTGCCATGGGGAGCATAGTGCTAGACCTAGGGCTTGCTCCTCTATTACCCTGCATTTTGGGTCACTATTTACACCAGTGCAAAGTAGGCGTGAAACACTAGCAAATGGGAGTGATTATGATTTACACTAGAGGTGTGGTGAGGAAGGGCCACAGCCGCTGGTGCCTTCAACCCTTTTCAAACGCACCATCCACTGCCGAGCTCACAGCGCAGCTTGTTAATGGCTTTTTAATATTCTCTCTCCTGGCATGCGTTACCTGTCTGATTAGCCTCCATTAGAGGTTCAGAGTGAAAGCAACCTCAGAAATAGTAATTAATTAAAGCAAACATTAGTTCTCTGGGTGGCTGGTGAACTGGTGTGATTTCCCCCCTGGAGAAATTCAGAGATGGATTCTCACAGGGCTTCTTTTCCAAAGGCTGCAGAGTGAGTCCCAGGAAGACCAAAAAATAGAACCCAGGAGACCTTGGGCCTAATTCTGATGGGAGGGATGTTGTGCGTGGGAGGGATTTGGCTACTAGAGTGAAGCCCTCTGCTCCTACCACTAGGTCACACTGCTTTCCTCCCTCCTTCACTCGAAGCAAACGTCACTGTGACAGATTTGCCATTTGCACAGTGCAGCACATGGCAGCCATTGGTGACTTTATGCTGCTTCTGTAGGAATCTTGCAGTCCCTTGTTGCCTTCCAGGTCTGATCCCCCAGCATGTGTGTGTGCCCATTTCCTGTTGTGCAAAGTAGGTGTGAAATGCTACTGGATTGGCATGGCAGCATCTCACCCTCACTTGGCACAGGTGTGTAAAGTGACCCCAGGGGCAAGAATCAGGCAGTGAAATGCCCCAGGTGGCTACACTGTCTGCTCAGGGGACAATACACATGTCTCCCTACCTTGTGTAGTGAGTGGGATGAATCTCCCCAAAGCTGTCATCCTCAGGTGCCAGGCCAGGTTTCAAAGGAGCCTTCAGTTCCCATTGACACTCATTGGCATTTGTGTTCCTTATCTCCCCATTGGTTCTTTTGCAAACCCCAGAGGAACTGCTGTCATTAAGAGTGTAAGCAGTTTGGGCAAGGACTGTCTACCATGCTGTCCTGTGACTGCCACAGCTGGGCCTTATGCTTGGCTGGTGTGATTTCCCCCCTGGAGAAAGCTCTAACATAATAAACCCAGCTTTCATCTAGGAATGTATTGCAGTGACTGAGTTCCATCCCTGCTTCTACCTACAGACGCTCCTCCGAGATGGCAAGAGGGAGAGCATCATGAGCACCCTTTTTGTCGCCCCTTCCGACATCGAGAACGGACAGAGCATCGTCTGCCGGGCCACCAACAAAGCCATTCCCAGCGGGAAGGAGACATCGGTCACTATCGACATCCAGCGTGAGTGTGCGACTGGCCGGGCCAGCTGCGGGGGCTTCTCATGCCACGGGGGGTGTCAGTGAGCGATTGAGTTTGGCTGAAGTTGGGCCAGAGATACAAAGGGGCGAACTGGATCCGGCCCTGAGTTTGGGGGTTGGTTCCTGCCCATCTCTGGGCTTTGCAGGTGTGAGAGTAGCCAGTAGCGATCAGTTCACGGTGCTGACCTGACATAGCACTCGGAAATCCGGACATCGCCCCAGAATCTGATGAGGTTCAACAAGGACAAGTGTAGAGTCCTGCACTTGGGATGGAAGAATCCCTAGCATTGTTACAAGCTGGGGACCAACCAGCTAAGTAGCAGTTCAGCAGAAAAGGACCTGGGGATTACAGTGGATGAGAAGCTGAATATGAGTCAACAGTGCGCCCTTGTAGCCAAGAGGGCTAATGACATATTAGGGTGCATTAGGATAAGCATTGCCAGCAGATCCAGAGATGTCATTATTCCCCTTTATTCAGCTCTGGTGAGGCCACATCTGGAGTATTGTGTCCAGTTCTAGACCCCACCCACCCCCACTACAGAAAGGATGTGGAGGGGGTCCAGCAGAGGGCAACCAAAATGATTAGAGGGCTGGAGCACATGACGTATGAGGAGAGACTGAGGGATTTGGGTTTGTTTAGTCCGCAGAAGAGAAGAGTGAGGGGGGATTTGATAGCAGCCTTCGCATTCCTACAGGGAGGTTCCAAAGAGGATGGAGAGAGGCTGTTCTCAGTGGTGGCAGATGACAGAATAAGGAGCAATGGTCTCAAGTTGCAGTGGGAGAGGTCTAGGTTGGATATTAGGAAAAACTATTTCCCTAGGAGGGTGGTGAAGCGCTGGGATGGGTTCCCTAGGGAGGTGGTGGAATCTCCATCCCTAGAGGTTTTTTAAGTCCCGGCTTGACAAAGCCCTGGCTGGGATAATTTAGTTGGGGTTGGTCCTGCTTTGGGCAGGGGGCTGGACTTGACGAGGTCTCCTGAGGTCTCTTCCAGCTCTATGATTCTATGATTCTAACTTGGCCAGCCTCTTGAAAACCCTTGGGGCTGCCAAGTCAGCTGTCTGTCTCCTGAAAGCAGGGATCCCAGGTAGATAGCACCACAAAGACCGTTCTCCGCTTCTAAGATTTCCACAGAACCAACAACAGCAGAAGCAATGAGAAAATGAACAAAATAAAACTTCCTTGACGTGCTGAGATGCAGCTTCAGGGCCAAGATTCTGATTCTATACAAACTGCTCAGCCTCTCCCTAGCTGTGGGAGTACCCAGCTTTCCATGCTTGCTCCGTAGTCCCGGCTCATAGTGTAGCCAGCAACCATGCCAATTATGATGGGGGTGCTGTTGAATGGGTACCTGTCTAAGACCATCACCCTCTCACATGAAGCACAGGTGATAGAAGCAGGGCACAGCAAGTTCTGGATTCAGACCTCTGACTGAGAGCGCTGTCTGTGGATTTTCAGAGGTGTTAAAAGAAGAAGGTCCATCCTTTCTTTTGCATTTAAAGGGTTAGAAAACCTGCCTTCGGTTGAGCTCCCAGCCTAGAGTCTATTTAGCTGAACAAAGGGGAGGTTAAGGCATGACTTGATAATGGTCTATAGGATGGGTTCCCAAACTGGAAGGCGTGCTCCCCTGCGGGGGCATGAAGAAATTCCAGGGGGAGGATTCAAGGCAACCCAGCTCCCTGCCCCCCTGTCAATCCTCCCCAAGTTTTGCTGCTACTTTTGTTTTTCGTCCCCGGTCAGTTCCTTTTTTTTTTTCTCTCTCAACAAGTTTTGCTGCTTTTTTGGGGGGAGGGGACATGTGAGGGTTTCTCAAAAATCAAAAAGGGGGCGTGATGCTGAAAAGTTTGGGAACTGCTGGTCTATAGGGACCTAGATGGGGAACAAATGCGTAAGGATGGGCTCATCGATCTAGCAGGGTACGGGCTAATGGCTGGAAGATGAAGCTAGATAAATTCAAGCTGGAACGAAGGTGGAAATATTTAACAGTGAGAATCAGCAACCATTGGGACAGTTTACCAAGATTCATGGTAGAGTCTTCATCCCTGGCAATTTAAACTCCGGACTGGAGCGTTTTCTGAAAGCTCTGCTCCAGGGATTATTCTGGGGCAGTTCTCTGTGTTCTACAGGACATCAGACGAGATGGCCAGAGTGGTCTCTTCTGGCCTTGGAATCTAGTGGGAATTTAAATTTCAGGGCTCTTGAAATACATTGAATACCCATCCTGCCATGTCTGTGATACCCCACCTAGAGCGTTTTGAAGGCTTGCAAAAGTATCCCAGTCATACTCAGTCCTAGGCCCCCCGGCTAATGTGGCTAATGTAAAACTCCAGTAGGTGCGGACAGGCGCGTGCAGAGAACAAGACTGGCCAGACTTTTTATAGATCCCCTCGTCAGTGGTCTCCAACCTTCTTAACCACAAGGTCACAAAATGGAAGTGCAGTGTAAGATCTGCCTCATACCCAAATGCCCTTGCCCAGCTTCCTAACCAACCCTTCTTTGAGGCCCGGCCTCTGCTCCACCACTTCTCCGAGGCCTCAGCCTGCTCACACCATCCTCCTTCCTCCCCCATCCTCACTTTCATGAGGCTGGCGTAGGGGGTGCAGGTTCTGGTCTTGGGCCAAGGAGTTTGGAGTGTGGGAGGGGCTCTGGGCTTAGCCCAGGGTGGGGAATTGGGGTCCAGGAGGGGGTTCAGGAGCAAGCTCTGGGAAGGAGTTTTGGTGCAGAAGCGAAGAGTGAGGGGGGATTTGAGAGCAGCCTTCAACTTCCTGAAGGGAGGTTCCAAAGAGGATGGAGAGAGGCTGTTCTCAGTAGTGACAGATGGCAGAACAAGGAGCAATGGTCTCAAGGTACAGTGGTAGAGGTCCAGGTTGGATATTAGGAAAAACTATTTCCCTAGGAGGGTGGTGAAGCACTGGGATGGGTTCTCTAGGGACGTAGTGGAGGCTCCATCCCTAGAGGTGTTTAAGTCTCGGCTTGACAAAGCCCTGGGTGGGTTGATTTAGTTGGGATTGGTCCTGCCTAGAGCAGGGGGCTGGACCTGATGGCCTTCTAAGGTCTCTTCCAGCTGTTTGGTTCTATGAGTCTATGCAGGGGAACTCACATCTGGGGCGGGAGGTTGGGTGCAGGAATGGGACAGGGGTTCAGAAAGTAGACTCTGGCTGGGCACCATTTAACTGAGATGGCTTCTGGGTGGTGGAGCAATGAGGTTAAGGCAGCTTACTCCTGCCCTGGCCCTGCACCACTCCTGAAAGCAGCTGGCATGTACAGAAGGGGCTTCATGGCACGATGTGCTGCCCCTCCTCTACAGGCACCGAGCCCATAGCTTCCCCATTATTGATCAGTGGGAGCTGCAGGACCAGTGTCTGCAGGCAAGGACATTACGTGGAGACCCCCTGCTCTGCCTCCCTCAGGGGCTGCAGGGACATGCCAGCCACTTCCAGGAGCAGCAGTTACCACAGGGATAGTGACTCCAGCTATGACAGGTTTGCCATTTTAGAACTCACTGCTCAGAGAATTACATTTCAGCGTAAGAGAGAAATGAAAGTTCTGAAATGCACAGACCAGTCAAACCCCCCAGAGATACCATCCTTCAAGCAGGAGGCTCCCTCAGGGGCTGCAGGGACATGCCAGCCACTTCCAGGAGCAGCAGTTACCACAGGGATAGTGACTCCAGCTATGACAGGTTTGCCATTTTAGAACTCACTGCTCAGAGAATTACATTTCAGCGTAAGAGAGAAATGAAAGTTCTGAAATGCACAGACCAGTCAAACCCCCCAGAGATACCATCCTTCAAGCAGGAGGAGAAGTAGCAACAACCTCCACCCACCCCACCACAACCGCA